TATTCTAATTGCACTTGTTCTTCAAGTGCGTATTTGCATTTCCTGTCCTACATTTAAATTATCAATTGCCAATTGATGATACATTCATGCACCGTAAATAAAGAACTCTTAATGTTTGAGCAAATCATTTGAAGGCGATAGTTGTGACACACAAATATGAGTCAGTTATATGCAGTATTCCTTGAAGATCATTCATTAAAAAGTATCAGTCATAAATTATGAATGTACTTGTTTCTTAACGAAAGAAAGACTTTAGTTGTACTGTTCATATTTGGCATTTTATTTGATTATAAAGAAACACTCGATTCGGAGATATACAAGTGAATATGAATGTTTGTATTTAGTAATTATTATGAAGAAGTTCATGTTATTAAAAGTATAAAGAACAAATAAAGTATATTAAAACTTTAAATTCTTTGTTTGATTGCATTTACAGTGGAACCTCTTAACGAGGTATTGTATTGTGAGAAAAATGACTCGCTTAACGAGCAACGTTTCGCATAACGAGTGACGATGAGAAGAGAAGTCCCGGATTGTCCCACATCATTTTTAAAACTTGTGTACACATATTATGTATATTTTTGAATATGTTTCACTGTACGAGTATTTCACTATACGAGTAAAAATTCGAAAATTTTGGAAAGGATTAAACTCGTTAAATTTAGTATCTAAATAAATAATTTAAACAGATTATATGAAATATTTCTTAAGAAATATTTGATTGCAGTGGCAATATTGCATACAAATATAATTCTTATGTTTACTTATCCCACATTTATATCTAATCTGTTTCAAATTATCGTACTGTAAATTAGTTTGCGAATTGTTATATTGTTGCTACTAAATGTGAGCTTATTACTTACCACAATTAATTGCAGTAATTTCTAATGACTACCATTTATTTCATACAATACATGTATAAAATTATATACAGTGAAAAAAGTAAATTTTAATGTACAAAAATAGTTAAATTAGCAAAATAGGAAGAAATGATTTGTATTAATTTATGTTATATAGAAATACCTAGCATAGTATTTAATTTTCGAAAAAAATATTACACAAAATTATGTTTCATATATAAATAATCGTTTTTTTTTTCTCTCCATACTATTTCTGTACAGTTTATGTTTATGCTAATTAGTCCGATTTCAAACACTACATTTTTCAAAGTTTAGATGTGTGTGAATTTTGTATTTTAGATATAAATAGACATTAGCCAATTTTGTATAAATTCATTAAGAATTGTATAAAATTCAAATTAGTAATCAATAGTAAAATGCGAAAATCAAGAAGAAAATATCTGTATTCAAAATTATATATATTGAAGTAAAGTACAATATTTAAAATCTAAATTTGATTAGTTTAAATTGTATTATTTCACTCCATTTTGATATATAATCATTATAAATTATATTAAATCAAATTGTATTTCAATAAATTCTCCGTTTTTTTTTATTGGAATCTTTTGTTTGTATCTATTTCTATTATTTTCGAGTTTTGAATAATTTGTTTTCATATTCAATGCTAGTGTGCAAAACTCCAAAATTTAATACATTCATAACAGTCACATTTTCAATAGGTTGATCGCAGTGAGTCTCATTTGTTGTATTATAATAATATTAGAGATTTATATATAAAAAATAATGAACTGTTAAAGGGTTATTGACAATAGGTTTTTCCACCCTAATTTAAATCAATTTATCTAAATTTACTGGTTTTACTAATGTATTTACACATTATAAATCATGGCAACAAAAAAGGGTATTCGTGAATTTTGGGTACCACCTACTTCATTACTAAATCAGCAGCAAGAAAAAAAGGGCAAGGGAAGGGCCCGACCCAATACTAATAATACCCGATGTGTGTGTGTGTCTACCCCACAACCAGGGGTGACGACGAGAGCAACCCGCCTCTCCTTAATTAATTAAATTAAAATTACAAATGCGAAATAATTAATTCCTGAATTTATTTCTTCTAGGCATGGAACATGACACAAACGCATGCTCGTGTCCCGAGGAGCGATGCATAATGGCACCCAGCAGCTCGACAACGCCTCCTACCCATTGGTCCTCCTGCAGCTTGGAGCATCTGGCTTTCGCCTTCGAGCACGGTATGGATTATTGTTTGAGGAACAAACCCATATCGCTCTTCGATAGCCCGGTCTGCGGCAACGGTTTCGTAGAACCTGGGGAACAGTGCGATTGCGGACTACCTGAGCACTGCGACAACACCTGCTGCAATGCAACCACATGCATGCTGCACAAGAACGCCAGCTGCGCCACCGGTGAATGCTGCGACCTGCAGGTATGATCCGCAATATTTTAAATTGGAATTGCCAAAAAAATAATTCTTTAATTTCCATCAAGACTTGTAAACCGAAGAACGCAGGAACGATGTGCAGATCGGCAGATTACGAGTGCGATTTACCAGAGTATTGCACTGGACAGTCAGAATATTGCCCCGATGATATTTATAAGATGGACACGGAGCTGTGCGACGGCGGGAAGGTAGGATCTTGAATTCAAGTTTTTTTTCTACCTGTACCTAATTAATGGATTGTTGTTTTTTTTGCTACGTTCAGGCGTATTGCTACAACGGCTTCTGTCGCACGCGATCCGATCAATGTAAACTTCTTTGGGGTAGCACCGGTAAATCGAGCGATGACCAATGCTACAAGATGAACACGAAAGGCACCAGACACGGCAATTGCGGATACAACAAGCTCAATCAGTCCTTCGTTAAATGCCAGGATGAGTAAGTTTTTATTTTCACGTTCGTATCAAGTTAACACGTCAAATGGTAGTTTTCTTATTACAGTAATACACTAATCACTAAGTGATGTCTCGCAGCTTGCGAATGTTAAGTCAAGTTACTAATTTCCTTAAAGATGAATACATTTGCATTATTAAAACAAAACTTATTAAAACTACTTAATACTGTAATGATCGATAGCCAATCAAAAAATACAAATTATGTAACGTTAATATTACTTAGTGATGATACCAATAGAGTTTCTCAACGTAAACATATTTCTACTTATATTGCAACTTAATTGTTTATAATGATTATTTTTGATTAGCTGAAAAGTACCAGTTCATTGCTTTGACACAACGTGACAGTTGTGAGGTTTTGGGTTGAGAAACTCTGCTACATACTATCATTAATATAATGTTTGTTGCGAATAGTGTTTTTATTTATTTTTGTTGCTGTTCTAGGAACGTTCTATGTGGAATGTTACACTGCAAGCATCTTAATGAGCGTCTGGAATTCGGTATGGAATCGGTGGCGATTTTGTCGCATACTTTCATCAACCTGAAAGGCCACATAATCCCCTGTCGCACGGCGATTGTTGATCTAGGATTAAACCAGGTTGACCCAGGATTGTCACCGGACGGCGCAAGTTGCGGCGACGGAAAGGTATTATCCTCGTCCAGTTCACTTAAATGTTATCATATTCAAATATGTTAATCTGTTATATAAATATATTTGTGTTCTTTTATTGTTGTAGATGTGCGTAAATCAGAAGTGCATGCCAGTGGCCAGCTTACGTACAGCCATTGGAAACTGTCCTCAGGATTGCAATGGGAACGGCGTCTGCAACAGTTTGGGACACTGCCACTGCCACGACGGATTCGCTCCTCCCTTCTGCGACTATCCAGGTGACGGAGGATCAGCTGACAGCGGTCCAGCGTCCGATCGAAGCGGTAAACGTCGCAATGTTTGCTCCCCTTTTCGAAGCAATCCTCACGTTTTCTTCCATGTTTTTAGGTCACAAGATATTCGTGGCTGTGATGTTCATCATATTCTTGGGTATAATTCCGACGATGGCCATCATAGCGCTGCTCTTTTACTTCCACAAGAATAAGATCTTTGTATTCCGCAAGAAGTCGCCTCTAACGTACGTAACCAAAGTGTTTGCCATATTTCGTGTAGATGTATCTCGCAAGGGTGCTCGAGGTGGAGGTGATATTAAGGATGTAACAACGCCATCGCATGCGCCTAAAAATAGATTGAATGTTGAAATACTCCACACGAACCTCATTTCCACGACTAACGCGGCTATGATTGAGAACAGCCCTAGAATCAGTCAGATTAACAACACCAGGCGGTTCAGTATCAAAAACATTAAGAACCTTAAATTAGTCACCAAAGTTCCCATTCCTGATAACTCCGAGGTCGCTTCGACCACTGCCGAAACCATTTGCTACGACACTCCATCCGTGCGCAATCTCAAAAATGCGTTCGAATCTTGTAACACTTAATTTGCATGCTTTCGCTACTACTAATCACTACTAATCATATTTTTATTTCTCACTAACTAGTACAGCCATTAACAGCTTTTTTTATACATTTTTATATATATATACAAAACGCTTCTTACGCCTTTTTGCTTTATACAGGGCGAAATCACCGCAAAAGTCGAGAAGTCCGCCATTCTCTCCGGAAAGTCCGAAGAGGATCACCGAAGATAACCACTCCTTGCTGTCTTCGGATCAAGCACACGAAGTGGGCGAATTCTTTGGCCACTTCAAGGGCTTCACCTTGACGCCGCTGAAGAAGGAAGAACCGGTGCGACCTGCGCCTCCGGTGCCAACAGTCAAAACTGTATCTCGTTCCAATTCGAGTGCTTTAAATGCCACCGCACCGGCGTTACCGCCCCTCAATCCGGGATCCCATCCCAGACCGATAATTTCATCGCCGACTCTTCAGAATTCCACTTGTACCGCCAAAGAGCTTCTCAGTCCGCTCCGAAATGCGCCCAAAGTCCCTTCGCGTCACGCCCCTGAGGCTCCGAACAAAGAGAACAAAATCAAAGATAAAGAGAACAAACGCCCGGTCTCCGAATCCATAGCCATTGAGGATGAGAAGAAACCAGCGAAAGGTCTGAACAGAATAACGTCGTTTTTGAAACCGCACGATAAGAAGCCAACGGTGGTCAACACAAACTCTCTTCCGAGGAAGAGTAAGAAGTTCGATAAAGATGCTTTGAGGACCGTCGAGATTTCCGGTCCAATACCGCAGACCCAAATCGATATAACCATAACAGCACTGCCCGTCGAACCGCCACCGGAGCATAAAGTGACGGTGGCCCGGGCGCAAAGCATGAAATCGCCGGAGAACAAACCTAAGATACAGTCCTTTGGCTCCATGCGAGACCCTACGAAAAGACCCGTCAGCATCGTAAATGCCGTCCGACCCAAAAGTCCGCCACCGCCGCGTCCTCAGGAGGTCGAGAAGAAGTCGCAAAATCAATACGACGATTGTCTGAACGCCGTACCGATCTCGCCCGTTTCTAACGATAATATTTATGCCGTCATCGAGGAAACGCCGATCACCTCGCCAGAATCCAAGCCGGTGACAAGCAGTTCCACCTCGAACGAGAGCTTCGGCCTTCTTGGTGAGATAGTCTCCGAGATTCAGAATAGGAATTTCGATTCGATCTACTCCACATCTTCGTTGGGCAGAAAGAAGAAGGCAGAGCAAGAGGCGGCAGCTGCTGCTGCAGCAGCAGCCGCAGCGGACACCTACGAGAATGCCTCCATCTACAAGTCGCCGGAGAGCGTGTACAGCAACATGAACAACGGAAAGTCGAGCGCGAGCTCCACTTCCAGCGGCTACATCCATCCATCTGCCGTGAACGTGCCTCCGCCCCAGAAGAAGCCGCAGGAATCGCAAGAAAAGAAGACTGAATCGAAACCAAACCTGACCACGTTCAAGGCGGAGTCGGCTAAGGCACCTGCGGCTGGTAAAACGCAGCCTTCCACCAAAGGAGTGCAGGCGAAGGTGGTGAGCCGGCAGACGACGCCGCCCAATCTACGCTCCAGAAAACCGTCACCGACGAGGGCGGCGGCCACTCCAAAAGCCCAGTTGAAACCGATGAAGTCGAACAGTCCAGATTTGGTAACGAGCTGCTCGGCGACTGGCAAGGGCAACAACGCTAAGGGCACGCCGGATGTTCTCAACAATAGTGTGAAAAAAATACAACCCAAGCCGAATCTCCCCAAGACCAGCAAAGTCACAACCCCTCCTGCAAAGACAGAAACCGCAAAGACAATCCCCGCTGTAAAACCCCCAATCGCTTCGAAGTCGTTCAAAGGCTCCGAGCTTAGCAAACCCAAACTGGGCAAGTCGAACGTGGCCTCGCTTCAACAGAAGTTCGAGAAAAACGTGAAAACTTGAATTATTATCCCACTCCTCTCTTTCACTATTTGTACATAATTGTAACTTATATTAAGTTTACTTTTGTATTTATATTTAAGCCTATACCTCTTTCCAAAACTAAATTTCTACCCCCTACTATCTAGTCTGCTACAATTAATTCCTTCCTTTCGAGTTACTTTCTTTGGGAAAATCATTGCAGCAGCAGCATATAATAAAACAAAAAACATACAAAAAGGGAATACTTATTTATTGCGTATTGGAAGTTCGTATTTATTGTTATTAAAAAAAAACTATTTATAAACGAAAAAGAAGATGTGAAGAAAAAAGAAAAACCAACCTAAGCCTTATAAAGTTAAATGTTAGTGTGCCATTAGTTCGTCGTTCGTTGTTCATTTTCATTTCAGGATTGATATATTCGAAGAAACGTGAGTTAAAAAATAATACAAAACACGCAAGGAATTTTGTAATTAATTTTTAAGACAATCAAAAGATGTTTATTTCCGACTTTTTTTAAGGAGCTTTTTTTTCTGTTACTTGTAAATATTATAAATATATATACCAAAGAAGGATATTTTATGAATACTGTAACATATTTAAGGATAATATTAAAATTGAAGCAATATTTAGTCAAAAAAAAAATTAATAATATGTGAAAATTTAACACACAAAAAACACACTTTTAACACAAACACAAACTTAGTGCTCTGCAACTCCTATTCTTCCTATAAACAATATTTTTTTGTTGATGTTTGTTATACTTTCTGTTATTGTGTATTTAGCTCGTTGCGACATTCACCTCTTTATTTTCGTCCATTAAATGGTCCGTCTTGCAAAACATCCGCGTGATCGCGCAGAACAGGCCTTTCAGGCAACAACCAGGCTCCTCTTGATCTCGATCCATTTGTCGACTGGATTTGTCAACTGTTGTTTATGTGTCAAAAAAAAAATAGTGAAAATAACGATGTTTCGGTCGCTTCAAATGTGAAACGTGCCCCCTTTTCCCCGTTTCGAACAGCGTATATAACAAAGCAAAAAAAAAATAAGATCGTATTTTTTTAAAAGTATATATTTTAGGCTACTGATGGTAAAATAAATGTTATTATTTTTTAATCGGTCTTTTCTTATATTTCATTTTTTTGTATACAATTTTAATTGAATGTGACACGTTCAGAATCGAACAGCTGATATTTTAATATTATTATTACGACCCTCGAGGGATTGTATTTATTTGGTCTGAGATTCGAACTAGTCACCTTTACATCGGTGATTTTGTGATACAGGGATACTTCCAGTTATGCATTGTTTAAATCCAACTTACTTTCAGCTTCGTGCCCAATCATTGAAATCGGTGGCAATCGCAAGCCCGACAACCGAAATCCCGACTATGTCAAAATCCCGACAATCAAAATCCCGACTATATCGAAATCCCGACAATCTAAAACTTAATAAGATTATTAATTGTTATTTATTGTTAATAACATAAACTAATTTTATTATATAATATTTCTTATTGTTAAGTTTTATAATGAATAAATCAACGAAAAAAAACAATAATAATTAATATTATTAAAAATAAATAACAACAATTAATAATCGGGCAAAAGAGCCATCGTCCTAGCTCTTAAAAGTATTTTTTTTTCAGTATCCGTGGTAGCTATTAAAATATAATAAAATAATTTAAAAATGTTATTGTAGAAATTATAATAATAATACACTCGGGATTTCGAACGTCGGGATTTCGATAGACGGTCTTTCGGTTGTCGGGCTTGCGATATAGACCCATTGAAATTGTGTCAGATTTGTTTATAAAACATTGCATATACATGAAAGGTAAGTCAGGATTAGTTGTTATCAATATAAGAGTCAGATTTTAATATAAATCATAACATACAGTTTGTTATAAATATATATTATTTAAAAAAATCAGAAATACCAACATTAAATATAACAATTTTAACGATTATTATAAAAGACATGCAAAACTAAAATAAGTACATATTGATAATTCCAATTATTCAAAACCCTTGCAAATACAGTGGAAGCTCGCTTAACGAACATTTCGCTTAACGAGCTAAATTGAAGATCCAAAGGCTTGAAGCGCTTTAATCTTGTTGTCACGCCATTGTCGAGAAGGTTGACCGCCAACGGAAAAGTCATGAAATTCGTAAATAGTGTATAACAATAATTATGATAGTGAATAAACTTATTTAAATAAATATGTTATTTATAGTTGAATCAATTATAATCCTAATTAATTAATTAAATATACTCCAAATAATGCTTATAAATATGTTCTTACTGAAGTAGTACTTGTCAATGATCTGTAGCGAAGATTCTTTTAATCGTTACGTTCCTATTTCTTCATCTACTGGTACTTATCGACCTCGACAAATGCATTTTATTTGAACAGATCACCTTCGTATACGATATTATGATACATACGACCATGATCAAACATTTTATGTCTTTATATACAAAAGTTCACTGTTGAATCTATGGAAAATATGATATAAATACTAACAAATAATTCTACAACGTATTAAACCCAAAATAAATAAAGAATGATTATAGTATTTAAAGCAAGTAATATAGGAACCTTGCTGTTTAATAATATTTTTACAATTTTATTTTTGTTGACAACATTTGCAGGTGGTGCCTCGTATGTCTTCCCCAAGTTTCGAAACACGACAATAATAATATGGTTGTTTATTTTTAAATATATCACTTTATGATTAAAATATCGTCTGATAACCTTTCCGGAACTCGCTGGATAGGTGACAGGCGAAAACAATTCCGATGATCTGCGGAGGAATAGCAAACATATAGTATACATAGTTTGAATTCGCGTATTTCTACAAGTATAAGACGCACCTTTTAAAAGTGTGCTAAGCCAATTTGGGGAAATACGGTAGATTGAATTGTATTTATTACCTGTAGAGCAGATAGGACGAAGCCCACGTATTCGATGGTGCTGGAGTTATCTTCGATGAATTCCAAGAACGGTTGGAAGCAACCATTCTCGTGGATGTCTTTCGAGTAAAGCGTGCAGATTTTGCCTGGTACCTTGCAACACGACGGTGGAAGCTCTATGAAGTCACCTCCTCCTGTCACATTAGTCCAATCGGACGGTCCGACGATTCCGCAGCAACGAAACTAGTAAATATATTAATTAAAACTAGATAAATTTCGTGGACATATCGCAAACAAACTTCTCGTTGCAATCGATGCCAAGTCATGTTGTACATGTTATCCGGTAAATTGAAGGATCTGAGCAAGGTGGGACGCGTTGTAGTGCGGAGCAAATAACCGCCGAATCCTGCGCTTACTTCCAGGAAGAACACCAGCAACAGAAAAGTGGAAAACTGCAATATATGTATAAGAACGTTTCATTTCATTGACTAAAAGTCTCACCATTAGCGTCAGGAAGGAGTTTTCGTGGACAGCGCCGCACCATCCTATGATGGAAATGAGGAAGATACAGATGCCGATAGCTATCAAATAATTCGGTACGAAAACGTACTGGTCTTCTATCAGTTCCAAGTAATTCTTGTAGCGGATTTTTTGCGTTAAACCGACGGACGTTATCACTATACCGGTTAGCTGTTGTTGTTTCAGAATCGATTAGACTATTTAATTTTCCAATTTTTTTTTTAAATTGTAGTTACCATGAAGAGCAGGTTGACTCCGTACAGCAGATACCTGATCGAGTTGTTGGTTTTGTAGCTCATTTTGAGGCACGTTCTGATCGCCCTGTGTCTTGATCCAGTATGATGTTCCCTGGTAAACAAGATTATTGCCGTTGTTGTTTCCTAAAGGTCTCCGCGGTTCAGCTGCCAATGCACAGACTTTATTTATTTATTTATTAACACAAAAGATAAATTCCATTCTTTATTCTCTCGTTCACCATCCACGATCTGAGTAGCAACGGATTAGCTTTTATCGCGCTATTGGCCAACACATCCTTTTCGAAAGTGTACCAAGCTCTTTTAATCTGCATTATCGCCAACTGATAACTAACGTCCAGGCGAAGAAGGCCATTGCCTGCAACACATTCACCTACATTCGTATTTGATTACATCCGCACAAAGGAATTAAAATATTCCAGTATGGAAAACTTACAATTTCAACCTCAATCCATCCATCATGTATAAAATATTGCATGTGTCATGGAAAAACTGTGAACTTCCATGTGATTCGCAGATTCATTCAATTATTTTAAATTGTGTATTGCGATAATTAGTTTAGAAAAAGGTAGATTAGCGCAATTATTTTAATTAACCAAGAAATGCAACAAGCGATTGGCACCTTTAAAAACAAAGCAAAACACAAATATGAAAGATTTTTAATCAGGAAAGAGGGGTCATCGCATCCGGTTCCAAGTCTTTTGCACGATTGTTACATCTTTAATTTGTACCAAAATTAATAACAGCTCGCTGAAATATCTTAGTTCAAGGTCGTACATATTTATCATTGAAATCGAAACACAACAAAATAGTAAATAGTGACGTGAAATGATTAGTTGAAATAACATCAGCACCTTGTAAGATATTTATATTATCTATTTCACGTAGATAATAGGCATGGTTTATGGGGATTCTCCAATTGCAAATAGAAACAGATGCAACTGTTATAGGCAACGCTCTATGCGAGGAAGTAAGACCGCCTATATAATTATCCTTTGTGACTCACGGAACGCTAGAATTCTGCGATGATAAACAAACAAGTACACGTGACGAAGATAACACATACGTGTCAACAGTGAGTTGGACAAGGAAGATCGCGGTGTATAATTTTGTTTGTCTGTTGCACTCGACGACAGCAGTTGGCAAGTGCACATTTTTCTCTTTCGTTTTTGATTAACGAATTCAACGTCTCGATTAATCCAAATTTTTCTCCGCCGCTTTCGTTTTTTCTCTCTCTTGCTCGGTGCTTCTTCGCAATCGTCAGCAGTTCAGGGCAAACTCGATTTTTGGTGAAAGTGGTAATAGGTAGAAAGAATAATCTCCGAAAGTGAACCAGTTCTCGTTCTAAAATATCACGATGTCGTGGAGTGCCATAACAATTAAGTACCTCCTGTTCATCTTCAATCTGCTCTTTGTGGTTAGTAGATAAAAGCACAACAAGCCTGATCCTTTTATGGCCATTTTGATAACAACGCATATTGCGCAACAATTATTAATATTGGAAAATAACCATTATTTCAGGTCACAGGAATCATCCTGCTGTCTGTTGGGCTAACCACGAAGGCGTACTTTAGCGACTATGAAACGTTCCTGGACCAACAGTACTTCTCAGCCCCCAATCTCCTCATCGCCATTGGGGCCATCATCTTTATTATAGCATTCTTTGGCTGCTGTGGCGCAGTAAAGCAAAACTACTGCATGATAATCACTGTAATAACCTATAAAAGAATCCATCTGTTGAAGCCATATATATATTATTGATAATTGCAGTTCTCAACTTTGCTGATCCTCATCTTTGTTTTGGAGTTTGCCGCCGGAATTGCTGGCTACGTTCTTCGATCTCAAACTGAACAGTTCTTGAACACCTCCATGCACACTAGCTTGTCCAAGTACAACAAGTCTAATAATAATGAAGTGGCTGTTATTTGGGATACCATGCAGAAAAATGTAACCAATTTAATTGTAATAATTGCAAAAAAAAATAACTTCTCATTTTTTTGTTATTGCACAGTTGAATTGCTGCGGAGTTCAAGATTATCAGGATTGGATCAAAGCCTATGATGCCTTGCCAATGTCGTGCTGCGACATTCAAAACGGATTGATGTCTGTGGCGCAATGCAATAATGCCACAGAAACCCTTCACCAAAATGGTTGCATTAATAATCTGGATGGTTATATTAGCGGACACGCTTTGACCATCGCAACTATCGGCTTAATATTTGCTTTCATTCAAGTAAGTCCTTTCACGCAAACTTACAAGAACAGAATTTAATTTTTTTCCTTAATGCGTTTCAGATGATGGGAATACTGTGTTCTTGCTACTTATCAAAACAAGTGAAGCAGAACTATGAGTACATGTAAACATAACAAGATAAGGAGAAAATGCTGTATGCGCATTTGAATTTCATAGAAAGAATGTGTGCTAAATTTATTCAATGCAATAATTATACTACTTTTTTTTGTGTGAGTGTGTTTCAGTTTTTTTTAAGAATAAAAGTTTTGGTTGAATATTGGCTTGTCTTTATTGCTTCACCAACTATCAAAGTTAAAATTATAATTGCCACCTTTGCTTTTCTTAGCTGGAACGTCCGGGTTTTCAGTCCTAAAATATAAATATTGTTTACTATTATCGTTAATATAAATTAATCTTATAACTCACGAAGTGCTGGATTTTGGATTAATATACTTCCCAACGCCGCTTTTGAATACCTTCAATGTTTTCTGCGCGTTCATCTTCTGTCTCTTCTTTTGCTCCTCCTCCCTCTGCTTGTTTATTTCTTCTGCCCTTTCCTTAGCAAGCTGCGAAAAAAGAATGAAATTAGTCTCTAAAAAATATTATTTATTATAATTTAAACCATTTCATCCGCCTCCTCGTAGGGGTCAACGAAAACTTGAGCTCTAATCAGAACAATGTCCTCAATAGGTCTATCCTTATTATCCACTTCAATCTTCTCCATCTCGTTCATGGTTTCGATTCCACCAACCACTTTACCGAAGATAGTGTGCTTCTTATCCAAATGCTTACAAGATCTGTACGTTATGAAACTGAAATGCAAAGGTATCATTGAATACAAAGCTTTAGTACAACCCACAAAGATCCTTACAATTGCGAGCCGTTCGTGTCTTTACCAGAGTTCGCCATGGAAAGAACACCGCGTCCTGTATGCGACAAATTTTCCTTGATCTCATCTTCAAATTTTTCGCCCCATATAGACTCTCCACCTTTACCAGTATTTGTAGGATCACCACCTTGAATCTATTAATATTTTTAGCTAGTAATGTAAAGATATTATGCGTAACTCAATTACCATGAAATTCCTGATTGATCTGTGGAACTTAGTACCATTGTAGTAACCGTTCTGACAATGCTTCATAAAATTTTCGCATGTTTTAGGAATAGTGTCGCAATACAATTCAAGATTTAGCGGTCCCAAGTTCGTTAATAGCCTGACGTATCCTTTTTTCTTGACCCGTTCGTATCTGACTAGATCTTCATGTACAATTGCGGCCTGATGTTTCCACTCGGGTACCATAGCAGTTGAAGTGAAACTGGCAGCCACTGCACCCGTGGAATAATGGGCTGCATTGAATTTATCTGGTTTTTCATCAATCGGTTTAATTTGTTTTATTGGCTCCTTGTAATCTCTTTTCAATTCCTCCAAAGTGTACTTAGTTTCAGGATTAATGCATTTCAGCCTTGCATTTGAATCATTCCTCTCAGCAATCTCCTCTAAAGTTTATAAATATCATCAATAAAAAGCGTTAAAAGAATTATTTAAAATTACCTTCAGTTTCAATTCTTAGACTATTTTTGACATGATGAAAGGATGATATATTGAATTTTCCCAAATTTTGAGGATCCTGTATGGTTATAATATGCTTCCTCTCAAATGGTTTGTCTGAAATCAAATCCTTCCAATTTCTTGTCTTGATGTTCAACTGCTCCACAGCTTCATAGGAATAAACATTTCCTGTTGTTGCAATTGTGACAATGTGAGAATTCTTGGTGAAATTCTTGAAAAGCACTGGACAATGGATTTCATCTTCAGCATTTTTAAAGAAAGTCAACTTAACTAAAGCCTTTAAATCAATGCTTTTCCCAGTGACTGGGTTAAGTTTGTACTTCTTGATGAATGGGAGAAGAGGTTGTAGGTCAAAGATGTTTCCAGATTCATCACAGTATGGGTGCTCAAATGGTTGCAAAGAGAGACAGCAATGGTCAAAGGGTAAACGTTTGAAATTCTCTTCTTCAGTTGTTGATTGATGTCCTGGTTTCTTTCCACCATATAATGTAGTCCATTCAGTGTATGTAATGTACCTTAAAATGATTATAATTAATTTATGTACAGTTTTAGGTAAATAAATCTCTTACATTTTATCCTTCTGGTGCTGGCGCTTCCCCATGGTTACTTAATTAATAAAAAAAAACACTTAAATCAAAATAATAATTAAACTGCTGATGTTAAAACCAAAACAAACTATCAGTAGGTTATGTCAGATTTGATGGATGGATCGAATTGCGGAGTGACCAACAAAACAAATAGTAAAGTAACTAGAAGCGCATATACAGGGTGTACAAATAAATTGATTTGAATTTATTAAGATCAAATTTTAAATAAATTGAAGCAAATGTTACGTACTAAAATTTATTAATTGTTTACAATAATATATTACTTAAGATTAAAAACTTTAAAAAGAATAGTCCATATCTCGAATTAATTTATTAAGAGTGAAAAAAAATATGATATAATACGAAAGAAAAAAAAGAGAGAAGATAAAATATTTATAATTATATTTTACACGAAAGCACGAGAGACAAGACCTTAACTACTAAATTTAAAAAATAGTAAAATAAAAATGTATCCAAAAATATATGTATATAGAGTAAATAAAACTGAATACGGTTAAGTTTTTTTTTCCTTTTCTGTATAGTAGTATATTTCTGTAGTTTCTGCACAAGCAATCTACTCTCGATTAAAAATTGCACGTAATGCAGTTCCACATATAGTTTATTTTCTTCTGTTTCGCACTTTCTCCAATTTAATAATAAGACTATTACTTTCTGCACATACAACATCGAATCATATACACAAGAAATATCTTATTGTATAATATATATTATGTATATATATATATTTTAATATATTCAATCTTAATAATAATATTTATGTACAGATACAGGAGATGCAGCGATGGTGCAGTTTCGATTGCTCCTGTAAATGCAGTTATAGATGAAAAACAAACGAACGACATACAGACAATTGAATAACTGAGAACCTTGTGTGATATGATTTCCTTTGTTCTGTTCAAACATTGAAAGGACGAAGAAAAAATATAATATGAAACAAGTATACAGAAAGAGAGAGTGAATATACAACTTAAATTATCGAATACATGTAATAATGTAGCTAATCAACTTAGTCCAAACGAACGAGTCTATTTACAGAGTAAACCAGATGAGAATCCGGATTTGATACTTTGACAAAAAAAAAATGTTAACGGGGGGAAACACCACACTTATTACGATTTAATAAAAAAAAGCGTGTATAATAAATCTCAGGAACTTATACTTAGTGCCCTCACAAAAAAAACAACTATATTAATAAGAATTAAGAAGTATAGTATTACGAGGAGGAATGATCGTAGCCGAAGTAAATATAATAAGAAAGGAAACTTAAAAAACGTCTGCATTGGTTTTCCTGGACTATGAACTACATGTGGGCGTGGGGAAGTCGTATATATATTTTTTGTTGAGAGAAAAACTTACATACGTCGAGAAACAATTTCCTCTAATTACATACATATACGTAAGATGATTGGATGAGGGGCGGTGGAGAGAGAATCGAATTAAACGATCTGTGGGGGTGGTTTCGAGTTTGGGGCGATCACGTAGCATACCGTTTAGTCCAATGCCGGGCTGTGCGATCGTGTTCCTCCCTGTTTTGCAAATACTGAGTGGCTATGCTTCCCACCAACGGGTCCGCTGAAATTAGATGGAAATCAAATAATCGCTCATAACCTCTACAGCATATCTAATCTAAATACCTGGATTGCAGTCTGTTAGCAGGGAACAAATGGAAAGCAAGACTTTGGAAATTGTCAATGCTGGTGACCAGTTATCTTTGAGAATGTCTAGGCAGATGACGCCCTGGCTGTTTATATTGCAATGATAGATCCTGGTGCGAAAGGTCACTTTCGGTGGCTTGAAGGGGTATTCATGTGAGAAGTGAATATCTAGGAAAAACACGCCACCTTCATATACGGAACCCGGTGGCCCGAGTATGGTGGAGACCCATTCATAGAAGTTGTCACCCTAAAATACAATCATATCAGCCAATGTCCAATTACAATACACAATCAAAGTTGCAAAATTTACTTTGGGTCCAGCGCTGCAATTTGGTGGCGGATCTAAGGTGATTTCGGCGAGTTCCTTTTGGATCCTTTTGGCGGAGGTGCAGAGAACTTTCGGTATTTTCGGATTAGGTTTGCTCTCCTTATTCTCGGGCTTCTGGTCCCCGACGGCTGCACCTCCTCGTCCCCGACCGGTACCGCTGGAACCAGCTGAAGACATGGCGAACCTAGGGCAAAACAAACGACGACGATGAAGACACTTGTTGTACAGTTGCGAATAGGACCGGTGCAATTACGGGCGTTCGCAAAATTCAGGTGCGAAATGACCCTAATGTTGTTTAAGGGCTGCTAATGGCCAGCGCGGACGGCCATTTTGTGCTTTGCCTTAGGTATTTTATTGAAAACCCCGTGAAAGGTGAAATAAACCCGGGGGAAAACGGAAGCGTCTGGAGTCTCGGAAGAGTCACCGATTGATCGACGCCGCATGTAGGACCATCGATTGAGGAAATCGCGTCCGTTTCAGATGAAAACAATCGCGCCCCGAGAGCGCGGATCTTTTTTTTTTCGATCCTTTGTCAGTCACAGTCAGTAGGATCAAGGATTCCCCGGTCGGGATTAGCAAGTCCCGCAGGACGACATCACCGTGCTGGTCATCATGATGTTGTCCATTCGACGGACCTCCAATTGCTCACCTTTATCTCAGGAGTGCTCGATCAAATCACGCAGAACTTTCGGCAAATTTTAACTACACACTCCCTTTTTGCACTAGACTGACTCAACTATGGCTCATGGCGTTCGTTGAATTCCTTCCCATACCAACCTGAAAACCCTTAAAGTCACCAGCTGGGTCGAAATGAAAATAATAACAATAATAAACCAATAGGAGTCGGTCGGATACACCGCAAGGATGAATCAGAATACAATTTGCGAATCGAATCAAATCAATCAAATTCTAAAGGGACTGAGCAAATGGGAAGATGGATTTAAATGAAAAATAAACACGATTGTCAATTTGTTTTTTTTTTAATTACGATATTTAGCTAAATTTTATTTTCAATATTCCACAATCACCACTGTCTAGATACATCTACGTAATCTCCATCTGGGGCTTCGTAATCATCGATTTTCGGAGTGTTTACGGGGCCCACTGCGTTGAATGGTAATAGTGTAAAATCTACCTGGATTGCTTCCTGATATAATTCTTCTGATTCTTTCCTCAGCTCATCCAATGCATGTTGCTGAGAGAAAGCTATTCTATCCAACATCTGCAAATCTCTCAGATGTTGATCCCTTCGGTACTTGGCCCAACTCTTTTCTAACAGAATTCTTCCCTCAAGAACTTCCTCAGAGAGCTTCACTGCTGGTCTCACATATTGTGGATCTTTATCAAATAAGTGGATGGGAGCTTCGCATTCGTCAATAGGTTTCATCTGCCTCGAATTCTTCTCCAGTTTTCTAATTTGCTTCTCAATCTTTTTCTTCTTCCTGTCATCCCTGGCTTTAACGATAGATGGGTCGATACGTTTCTTCCTTTTAAGCGGTTCCGCGAACAGGCAGGGGGTGGTCTGAATGAACTTCGCCGGGGTCGTAGCAATGCCCCTCACCTGTCCCAAAGACAGCCTACCGAACGCGGACACGAAATTCATATTCGATAACCTTAAATTAAAGATACTCCTAACTTTTTCAGGTTATGTAAACATTTTGATTATGCAACCAAATATACACACAAACTGTATTAGCCTTATCAGGTTTACAAAACGAAGAAACCTATCTATATTATCATTATGATAAAACTTTTATGGTCTTATTCTTATATGTGGAAGAAGGAAACAATAGAATATTATAATTTGTATTGGATCATTAGAGATATCAATTCAAGAAGTATAGGGGGAATAATATTAGGTGAAAAATTAAAAACTTTGTAGTATTTTCTTTTTAAATTATATTATAAGTCCTTTTAGTAAAAATAAACAATGTTTAAGCAGAAGCTAATTCTACTTGGACTTTCTTCCACTCGGCGAGTGGTCCATGCTCCCTTCTGTATTGAACGTTGCAACCGTCTTGCTTCAGACGACCTGTATCCCTAAGGTTTTCGTATTCTTCCTTCTCGAATTTGGTGAATCCCCATTTCTTAGAGATGTAGATCTTTTGACGACCTGGGAACTTGAACTTGGCACGACGGAGAGCCTCGATAACTTGAGCCTTGTAACGGTCACTGGACCTAACGCTCATGATGGGCTGTCCAATGCGGACACGGGCTACGGTACCTTGCGGCTTACCGAACGCACCTCTCATTCCAGTTTGAAGCCTAAAATTAGAAATTTGATCATAGTAAATATTTTCTTTGTCACAGATTTAAGTGGGCTTGTTTGTACAAACAATAACATACCTATCAGCTCCAGCGCACGACAACATCTTGTTGATTCTAATAACATGGAAAGGATGCAACCTCATACGGATGTGGAATTGATCTTTACCGCAGTTCTTGACCAGGTATTTGTTGCAGCAAATACGTCCAGCTTCAAGCGCTTCGGAGCTGAGCTGTTCATATTCGTCAGACACCAAATGCACGCAGAGTGGGAAGTCATCGACGGCGGCCTTCTTTCTGCCCAAATCGAAAATACGGATTTTAGCGTCTGGCACACCACGACAGAACCGAGACTTGGGGTACGGCTTGTTTTTGCAGTAGCGATAACTGAAAAGGCAAATAAAAACAAATGGTTGTAGCCACAAGATGTTTGGTTATGTGTACGATGGCAACAAACAACTTACCATCTCGCTGGACGACGACCCATTTTGGCCTAAAAAACACAAGAAATATTATTACCACTGTGTTCTAATACTATTATAGTATATTTTTGCAAAAATATTAGTTTATTTACTGCAATGATTCTAAAAATATTGGGAGATACTTACTCGAGTCGAACTACTAAGCCAAAAGGAAACTAATCGAAAGGAATGTCAAAAGGAAAACACTGTACCAACCTAATAGCGTTATGCGATCGCAGCGACATCTTCTGCTTAAGCAACTCGCCCGGGAATTTAAAATTGTTTTTCATACCACGGAAATAAAAATCGATTTAAATGATTATTATATAATAATAATAATAATTTATTGGCCAAACATCAATACATAAGAAGAAGAAAAAAAGTACAATTTATACATAAATAAATTTTAACATACAATAAAAAAAAAAATATTAATAGGCAGGCCAAAGGGCTAACGACCGAGGTCTTTCCGCTCTAATTATTATAAATTTTCGGATTTGCAGAAACCAGGAAAAGGAAGGTCCCGTAGAAGATTAACATCGAAGATACATGATAATAATGACTGGCGTTAAGCGACATTAGGACGCAGCTAAATTTAGAAAAGCACCTTTCCAATTGGAGGTGAAGAATGATTATTTTGTAAAAAAAAGATTATTTGATGTACAATGCAATGTTTAACAGGAAAATATTTCCTCTGATATTAATTTGTAAAGAGAAAGTTGGAAGAAGGTGTGTATCATAAATAGAAGAAGAGTTTAATTAACTAATTTATTTTTGGTATTTAGTTTCAAATAGAGTAAATAATAAGAAATCTGGTGACCCTAGGAATAAATAAATCTGACGTGTTGTGTCTATCGTGTTTGAAATTCGCAGTTTCTTTCGTGGTGTTTCCGAGTTCTTGTTTATTTGTAACATTTTTGTTTTAAAATTTTGGAAATGGATAGCAACGGGAGCTTCTTCATAAAGGTGCTTATCCTGATAATGGATATAGGCATCGTGATCTTTAATCTGCTCTCGTTCAATCGAATCTTCTCGAAGGTGAGCGGTGACAGTAGCAAAGAGATGCGGAATCGCAGCCAGCAGACGTATATAGCCGGCGACAGCATGGATAGCAGCAGCAGCAAAATGATCGACAGGAAGCTGAATTACATCTACAAGCCGGGAATGGGAAAGTGCATGCCGCAACCGGCGCCTTTCAGAGGAAGCCACCATAGCACATCCATCCCAACGAATCCGAAGTACTCGCTGGAGCGCACCAGCGCCAGAGACTTTGTGTGTAAACGCGACAAGCTATCGCACACGTGTTTCTGCGATCTGTGCAAACGCCAATTAGTTTGTAAATAAAATTGCCTGTCTCTGTGAGAGTCGTGGTCTGTGTCTACATCAATTTGCCCTTAACATATACATATATTTAACATACACCAAAATAACATAGAGTAGCAGAAATCTTGCTTATATCTGCACCGCCCTATCTGCGCTACCGTTGTTTCCTGCTAATGCCAGCAGGTGTCTAGTGCTGGAGCCGCTCGTGTAACTGTCTTGACTGCTTCGAGCGCTCGCTTGGGACATAGGTGTTCCGGGCAACCTCTGTGGTGTGCTCTCAATGGAACTGAGTATTCCCTCGGCCTCATTTGGGGCTCCTTCCTCCGGCGTATAATAATCAGATTCGTCTCCGCGTTCTTTATCACATTCTTTACCTATAAGAAAAAACAAATAATATGAAAACTTATCTGGGGTCCGACAAGACTGTAGACCGTACCATTAGTCTTATTTTCTTCTTCGAGATCCTTTTCCTGCTCAACATCCTCTTCGTCAGCATCACCTACCTCTGCCCCATCAATAGTTTCAACAACATCTTCAATATTTAAAGCCACGTCATTTTTCTGGAGCAAAGGAGACAATTTCTCTGCCTCGCTGTCCTCATCTAAATCGTTACTTTCTTGCTCGCTCTTGTTCTTATTCTTAAGTAAAGTGGAGCTTTCTTTTCCCTCCTCTCGTGGCATTAACACGGACATTCCAAACTAAAATAAACATGAAAATATAATGTTTCTTTCCATTCAATTAGCTAAATAACGCACCTCCAGTGATCCAGCGTCTTGTTCTTTGCTAGATTTGGACTGTCTGTTGAGTATTTGAGCTGCTTGAATTGCGGTTTCGTTCTCTGGCGTTTCAACTAAATCGGGCATGGTAGCCGCCGGAGCTCTGGGAATGCAAGGTCCATTGAGGGCTTCTATTAAAGAAACGGCCTCGTAACCAGGAGGAATGTTCTCGCAATTACCCTAAAAAATATATCATTTAGTATTTCAGTTAATAGAAGCATACTCTTAAAAATAACGCACATCTGGTAAACTCACAGAAGCCAACACTGCATTCCCCGTCTTCTGTAACGCTCTAATTTGCAGGAGGGCCCTGAACGGTGCCCTGCAAATCGGGCAATTGTTCGCTTGGTACCTAAGTGAATCGGCACAATTGTTGCACAAGCATAAATGCCTGCAAGGTAATATCAACGTGTCCCGTACATCACACATGCAAATGACACATTCGGATCCATTATCTTCGCCATCATCGTCATTGCATTGCTAAAAAAATATATGTAATTGAATAAACGGTAATCAATAGGATTTAAATTATTGAACCGTTTCATTATTTTTATTTTCAATGCCGTAAATCTCTTGCAATAGATAGCACAATCCATCGACGAACAACTTTTGTTTGAGTGCTTTCAACACGAAAGTACCATCAGACATCTTCTCAACGGTGGCGTAAGTAGCGTGCGATTGCCGCATATCTGAGAAATTAACAAAATAAAATAGTATGTTCTATGGTACAGCTAGAGTAAATCTTCAACCTTCTGGTCCTTCCTCAGCGACACAGTGTATAGCAATTGGAATGACCTCGCGTTCCATGTCGTATAGCAAATCGTCCTCGGAGAACTGCGATGGGTCGAAGACGTGTGCCATCTGGCAGAATTGCTGATTTGCTCCACGTTTGAAGTGATATGTTTCTGAAGTGGTCCTCGGGTCTCTAGATATGTAGGTCACGTTGCCAGTGCTGTGGTCTTCCATGCACAGGTAGTGTATGGTGATCGAGCATCTTACGTCGCAATCGAACGTGAATTCTATATTGAAAAACGACGGCCTTCCAACCTCCACGTCGCAATCCAATCGCGGTTTTGTGTAGTCTGCAGATGCTCTAACAAACCTCAATGATTCTTTCCTAATATTCACCAAACTCTTAAGAGTTTTCGTGGGTTCATTGGGCTGCGGCGGTGGATATGGAAACTGAAAGCAATTATTATTGGTATTGATTGATGGTTTTTTAATTGCTCAACTCACTGGTGTTGGTTTGCTGCCTAGGAAATTCAAGTCTGTATTTTCACCAAACAGATAGGATTCTGGCTGTGGTGTATCGAACCTCTCACCTCCCATGATGAAGTGGCTCCCAAAGTAGCTGCCTACAAAGATGTACATTGAACTAGTTTGAATTGCTCAAATCAATTTTCATTAATATACCTGATCTTGGAGGATATCTGTAGGCGTGCGTCGGCACCACGTCCACTTCTTCGACACCCGCATTCTGTCTGCTCGTTATCGCGCCCATTTGTAGTTGTGATTACAATGATAATATTGTTATTGTTTTGATAAGCACTTCTTGACAATTGAATATCAGCTGTGTGTACTATGTTTTTTCTCCTTCTGACATTTCTGCAGGTGGCAACAGCAATACCAATTCAAGAAAAAAACCAAATTTTGAATCATCTTTCATTATTTTCACGTTATTCAATACATTTTGATCTTTACATTTAGTCGTTTGCATCATTAATTTATGTGGCAACTTCCCCCCGAAACATATTAATTTTAAAAATTCTATTAGAGTTATAACCGTATGTAAAGTAACACCTAAAAAAGTGGTCGATATGCATCGTAAAGCTGGTAAAAGAAGGTCGTGGCAATAAAAAATGCAATTTGCACAACTATTAGATATGACTAAACTCTTAAAGAGTATTGTGTAAGCAATAGAACCTTGATAAGAAATTATGTAGGTTATGCAACTTAATTAACTTTCAAATAAACGAATTGAAATATGTAGGGAGGGGAAATAAAATACTACTTAGATGTGTTAATATTAGTTTATTTATTATCTAACCATAGACTTAAATAAGAATTTTATGTGTAAAAACTTAAAATATAAAAATCTTCTTCTTATACGTTTAAATATCACACATTTATCAATGCATATGGAAAAGTGAGAGTAATTAACTAGAAATAAACGTATAGTTAAATTTGTCATTAGGTAATATATATGTAAACATGTATATAATATAATATTTTTGTTTGTTTATACATAATAATCTCAGATATTTACAATGGCATTATACAAAATATAATATATATATTTTAACTATATAATATAAATTGACTGTATACAATGTTTGTCCTTTAAATATGCGCTTAATAGGAACATAAAAAGAGCCAATATTTATGTACATGTATATATTTTATGCGTAGGCCAATATATTCAAGTCAAGTGTGAGGCCAAGCGCTCTTTTCTATCTCTCTCCTCTCATTCTGTCTCTCTAACCATACAGTATATGCTAATCGAAAAATAAATCAAATCCTTTTGGCGGGCGAACATAAATCGCTTGATCCGAACATCCCTCTATACAAAACTTTCGCCGGAGATTAACCTGTGACCGGATCTAGGCGCTCTGACGTAAACCTCCTGATCGGAAACATCTTTGACTCCTCTCTCCGAGTTCTTGGAGTTGTTGTTTTTCCCGTGTCTGCTGAGGAAGGATTCGGAAGTGTGCTGTGTGGAGTTGTTGGTGGAAGAGGTGGTGTTGAACGTGTTTTTCCTGTTAATATCCGTCTTCCCTTTGTAGCCGGCGCCTGTGAAGACGTGACCTAGGCCGCAGACGCGCAAGAATCCGCCGCGGAATTTGGAGCTCATGATGTTGTAGAGGATGGGATTGATGGCGGAGTTGATATGGAACATGATGCGGCAGAAGTAGAGTAGGTTGTAGTAGCGCTCCAATCCGATCTTCAAGATGTTCTCTGCAGGAACTACGATGATCCAGAGGGTGAAAGCTCTGAACGGAAGGAGACATATGAAGAAGGCCAGCACGACCGTTCCCAGCATGATGACCAGCTGCTTCCTATACTTGATCACACTCTGCGTTTGTGCCGCGCTGTTCTTGTAGGGTGCCATCAAGTTTGGGTGTCCCATCAAGGTTTTGGCGATCAGTGCGTATAGTATAACGAGCACGACCAATGGAAGAAAAAAGAACACGGCTATGGAGAGGATGAAGTACATGGACTTCATCCAGGTCTCCACCGTGCTGAAGCACACCGAGACCATCGTGTTGTCGTAGTACTGCTCCACGCTGTACTGTGTTATAGCCAACATTGGACTGCAAAAACAACCGATCATTATATTGAAATGTAAAAGAGCGCACGGTGATAATGCTAGCATGATTTGCTGTTTCCTAATTTGCTGTACTTACACGTGTTTCAATGTTTTCTTGTGTGCTGTTCGTGGTTAATGTCTACGTGTTCATGATTTTGTAAATGCTGCTAGATAAGAAATAATAGTAATACAAGTGAATGAAAAATAAAGAAAAGACACACACACACAAAGAACAGCTACTTCTATTGCAAGAAAATAAAGGTATGTAAAATGTTCTTTAATTAACGAAAATAATTAAGAAAAAACAAATATTACAAAATACAATTAATGATACAATTATTATATCTTTGGCGACGCGAAGATCCCGCTTGGTTTCCTAGTAAATAAGCTCGCGCGAATAATTTATAAATGCAAAGTATAGCATTGGACGCAAGCGGAATCCTCTTTAAACTAAACTATAATATTTGTATTAATACTATGTAAATATATGTAAGTCTAAGTATATAAATGTAGATAAAGTCTCTAAATGTGGTCTACTTAATTAGTTGCCATGGATAACCTAAGCCCTTAGTAAAGGTTACAATTGTTGAAATAATTTAGGTCACGCATGCAATGCACTGTATATAGTGATGTGTTTTTGTTGTTGTTTATGTTGTCATTGGAAAGGGATTTAACGTACACACAGGGATTGGTTGGTGGTTCAATAAACACGTACATTATAAATTATAGATTGAAATAATAACAATAATAATATATGTTAAACGAAGCTCTCTTCGTCGGGGGATCGTTTACTGTATTTTTCGCGCAACGCCAGCGTTGTCTCGTCGCATACGACGTCCAGGTTCGGATTGTGCGAGGTCGAGGGTGGAGGTGGGTTGCCGGTCTTGAAGAAGCGTTGGTGATGCTGGTGGTTGATGGTAGCGCGACGGGCGGTGCCGAAGGAGGAGGAATTGTTGCGAGAGGAGCTGGAGGCTCGGCGCCATATGAAGCCGTATTCGGAGCATATAATGAAGCCGGTGCGGAACTTGGAACTCATTAGATTGTAGAGGATGGGATTGATCGCCGAGTTGATGTAGACCATGATGCGACAGAAGTAGAGGATATTGTAGTAGCGTTCGACGCCGAGCGCGTACACCCTCTCCTCAGGCACAATTATGATCCAGAGGGTGAAGACGCGGAAGGGAATGAGGCAGAGGAAGAAGCTGAGCACGACGGTGCCGAGCATGAGAATGACCTGGCGACGGGCGCGTGTCGAATACGTGTCGAGGTGCTTGTTGAGGACGAGGCTGGCCGCATTCGAGATCAGGTTGCGGGCGATGATGAGGTAGAGGACAACGAGCACGACGAAGGGAACTATGAAAAACAGGAACACGCTGCTCAAGAAATAGAGTGCCGACCAGAATGTGTTCGCCCTGGTTTGGCACACCGGCACTTTGGATCCATCGAAGTACTCCACCTGGCGGTACTCGGCTATTCCGAGGATCGGACTGAAAAAGAATAACAATTCCAGCAAACAACACTTTCAACCGCTCCAAACTTTACCCTCATCCTTATTCAATAGAATTACACAAAATAAGTTATATTCTAGCGAAAGCCACAGCTCGAGCACCTGGATTCCCGATTAGTATAAGCAAAATCGATATTTAAAAACATTCCCATCCGCAACAAATACAAACTAATACATTTTTCTTAAACGAAAAAGAAGCTAATTGAAGAATTATATCAAATTATATTCATAAGTGAGTATTGAATTTCGTTGCTAATATGGTTTTGTTTATGCATAGAAGTTGACGCAACTACAGTTTGCGCTTGCAAAGAGTATTATTCTAAAGGTTAACTTTGCTCCGGTTAAGATTGCATCTTTAATCCAAACTATATTAGTAAAAAAAAGTAATACAGTTTTAAACTCTCAGATTGCGCCGCATCCTCGTGGATTTATTTAATTGCCACTCTATTTCATCGATTGGCTTTAGTCGTTTCATTCCCGTTAAATAATAAAACTCGTCGTGACCTTTGAAAATTCTACTCCAAGCGGAAGTACTAAATGTGCGATAATAATTTCGGGATATGTTGTTTGTCTGATGTTTAAAGATCAAATTTATGTCGAATGCAAAGTGATTGTCTTTTGAAAAGCCATTAAGCACCAATTAGGGCGAAAGAAATAGGGACTCAAAATATGAGATAAAAGGGAGGAAAAGAATGAGATTTAAAGTCGAAAAGCGGGTTTTTATCTAATTTTCATTTGGTTGTAGGTCGACGCTGACGTCAGTTTAGTTTCTAAGGCCGGTCGCAGGTGAGTAGATCTTAATTACCGGATAATTGACTGATGGCACTTTGCGGGATTGTTAAAGTCGAAAGGACGTCGAGCGCCGTTAAATTGGAGCGAGCGACTCTCCGGAAACTTTGTTTAAAGGTTAAGTGGAATACTGTTGCTGATTACAAGGAAAAACGGGACGCCGAAATATGAGAGCGTCGCGTGCTCAAATGCATTCGCCGCGAACATCCATTCATTCAACTATTCTCATCCATCCCTCTTATTCCCACCCCAATTGTTTATCGCTCACACAACCAACCACACCCCCCCCCCCAAAAGCATAGTCATCATCATCATCTTAGTCGTCTTCGTCATACCGAAGGGGATGAGAGACACTTGACTACAAATTGTGTCCTATGACCTAAATATAAACAGATTGCGCCCCGGCGCCTCCGCCCCCTCCGGGAACTTATTGCTTTCTGATACAAAAATAAATCTACCTACTGACACGAAAATAATTCCCGCCACGAAATAACTATGACCTGATGATTATCGCCGTCCCCCTTCGCTTCCATCCAATACCACTACCAATACACGAAAACCTATCGAGGAACACAAAAACGCATACACACACACACACATGACCACACAAAATCAAAATCTGAAAGAATATTCCCTGAGGCCTTCAACCTTTTGTATTTAAACCATCCGAAATGAAAAATAACAGATTGTTGAAACGAAACCAAAAAGAACGAAGGAATATACACAAAATAAATAACCGCCTACAGCGGGAGAATATTAAATTAAAATATATGAAATGATAATAATAAGACAAAAAACAACAAATTTCACAAAGGTTATTTCACTCTGACTAATGACGCACAACATATGGAGAGGCTAGGCAAACATATAGACAAACAATCACAGGACGGGAACTGGGGGTAGTAGCAGTAGTCGTAAACAAGTAGGCGGAGGGTGTTTCGTTAATATTTTCATTTCACCGGATTCCTTACTATAGTAATTATTTCTTTTTAGCCGACTGGTTCCTCGATTATATATTGTGTTTCTCGCGTTGATTGCGTTTTCGGGGAGGTGGAGAGGATTTTCTTCTTCCTTTTGTTTTATTTCTTTCCTTTTTTCGACATCTTCTTATTTTGAGTGAAAGTGGCAAAATCGCGGGGGTGTGAGTGAGTGAGTGTGCACGCTTCCAGTCTCATTAGTGATGACGGTAAAACCATACCCTTGTTGAAGCGGCGGGCGGTGGTCCCCCCTCTCCAACTTAATGTTTCCACGCGCGGACCGCCCACCCTTCAGTCAACCGATTCCCGCCCTCTCGAATTTTCGCAATGTCACCGACCAAAACGACTATAAAAAAAAAATGAGCAAGTGCTTGATTTCGAATGAAGGGTGTAAATGGTAAACCTATCCACTACAAACAATTAAATGTTGCGAATTGTAATCGAATGCAGTCTCGTAATTAAGTGAAGAGTAGGAATAATCCTTGGATTATTAACTTTACTGTTGTTTGTTT